TTGCAGATGGCCACCTTCCTGGCCTCTGTTGGAGATGTGTCCTCACCTGGCCTGCCCTCTGCACTCACAGAGGAGAGTTCCTATGTCTCTTCCTCTTCTTAGAAGGGCAGTTCTGTCCATTAGGTCTCTACCCTTATCACCTCAACCTTAATTGTCTCCTTAAAGGTCCCATTTCCAAAATGAGTCAATTGGGAGTTAGAACTGCAGCATATAAGATCAGGGGGCACACGTTCTATCTGTAGCACCTGCCAGTAATGCTTTTGTGCCACTCGCCCCCAACTACCGGTGGACCATTGTTGCTCATGTGCTAATATGTACCAGCTGCCTACAGCACTTTCCATGCCTCTCCTTTGTTCTCCCTCTGTGCTTTACCTGTCCTAACTCAAGGCTTTCTATAGTCTTTGATATTGAACTTGGACCCAAATCATACTTTGCATCAACCATTGGTACCTTCCTCCTTGCCAGCCTGGCCCTGTCATTGTCTTTGTGTATCCCGAGCAGACTGCTGTAGTCTGTGTATTGTTCCAGGGAAAAGGAAACCTCTCTGGCTAGTGCTGCAAAGGACTGCCTCGATGAACTTACCTACACATTCCCATCACCTTTGTTGTTTTTTCAACTGTATTGGTTTGGTTTCAGGCACTAGAACTCCAAACTTGAACCCAGTTCAGCTGAAAGGAGCATATACCGGCTCACAGAATACAAGGAGGGGCTGTGGGGTTAACTCTGGGAAGGGCAGCAATGCCACTAAGCTCAAGAAGAGCTGGAGCCAGGCCTCAAACACATCCAAGACTCCTTCTCCATTTCTGGTCCTGCTGCATCCTCTTTCAGCACAGACATGTGTTAGGAAGCATGGCTGCCTCTGGCCCCTGAACTTTGTAGCTTTATACTTTCTACTGCTGAAACCAAAGAGGATATTAACCCATCTTGGGTCAGGTGTCCATTCCCAGACAAATCAACATGGCCAGGAGCAGGACCTGTTTAAGTACTTGGCAGCTCCTGAAGTAGCCCTGGGTATATATTGGAGAGCAATTCCCAGGAGGTGGGTAGAACCAAGCAGAAACCCAGAGACGTCCTCGTGCTAGTGCACCCATTTCAGGGGATTTCTCACCATCCAGGATCCCTGTCTGCTTCACTCAGACCCCAAGAGACACAGCACCTGGGTCAACACAACCAATAGTGGGCACTGTCTTCCTAGACGGTGCTTCTGTCGCCCTTTGTGCCTCCTTTCACACCTAAGAAGTGGCATTAGATAGCCTTGAAGCAGACCCAAAGGCCTTCACTCTCTGCACTATGCTCAAATCTGATCCCATGTAGCCAGCCCCTTGTTGTTTTGCTCTTTATTCCACCTTGGAAGCTCTAACTCCCAAGCTTAAGGCACCCCCAGGCCAGAAGAGAAAGACAGGGAGCAAGGAAAAGGCAAGCAGCCTTTGCTTTCACTCCACCCCTGGTGCAATCTCTTTCCAGTTTGATGATGTTGAGAAGCACAAGAGAAGAGGAGGCCATCCTCCATCTCTTCCTGGTGTGGGGTATTCTTCCCCTCCTCTCAGCCCTCTGCCATACCTTGTGGGGTGAACCCTCTCTGCCACTCTTTCTGGGAAGGATCAACACCCACAAGAAGCTAGGAGAACAGTTAAGGCAACAGACTGCTAAGAGCCCGAGTCACCCAGAGGAACTTCCAGGACAGGGCACTTTGCTGTCTGCTGTCTTTTCCAAGCAGTGATGATGGAGAACAGCACACACGAGGGAGCACAGGGTCGTGAGCAGAGTTTACTTGCATAGATTGTAACAATGGCTGTGACATAAAATATTCTAGTGTCATTCATAAGGATTCCATGCAGGCCTTCCGCCCACCTTTTATCTACTGCCACACTCTCCTCCCGGTGATGTTATTCTCTGCCTTCTGCACAAATTCCTCTTCAGTTACATCTGTGAAAGACAGGACGGTGGTCCCTCAAAGTTCTCTGTGTCCTAATCTCCAGCACCTGTGAATACAGATGGTTACATGACACATGGAGATTAAGGCTGCGGGTAGAATTAAGGTTACTAATCAGTTGACCTTAACACTGGGGGATTAGCCTGGGTCATCTGAGTAAGCCCAGCATAACCAGGAGAGTCCTTACATGTAGAAGAGGGCGGTGGAAGAGTCGGCGTCAGAGTGAGGTGAGGTGAGAACTGCTCAGCCAGGTGCTCCTGGGCCTGGAGCTGGGAGGGGGCCCGTGAGCGAAGCAATGCGGGCAGCCTCCAGAGGGTGGAAAAGGCAAGGAAATGGATTCTCCCTAGAGCCTCCAGAAGGAACGCCTCAATTTTAGCCCAATGGGACCCGTTTCAGACCTCTGACCCTACAAACTGGAAGATGATACATTTGTGTTGTCTTAAGCCACGAAGTATGTGGCCGTTTGCACAGTAGGCTTTAGAAACTAACACACCATCCAACCCCTTTCTCTTAGAATCTCAAAAAAGATCAAACTGTACATTCTCTTCCTTTTTAAAATACCTGCATTTCAAAGACTTTTGCTGATCCTGCTGTAGCCCCGAGACATGTTTGTCTAATTTGGATGGTTTAGTACGTCTTACGTCTACCAATGAAATAGCAACATTCAAAATACACAGTCCCATACAATTCCTGTCTCCTTTCCAAAGCCTCTAACCAACTGTATGTAACCAGACCTCAACAAAACCTTTCCTCTTCCAGTGCAATGATTGCCCTGCTGACCAGTACTGCCCATTACTGGCACTGGTGACTGGGCGGTGATCCCGCTGACCTGCGCTCTGGTGCCTTGGCGCAGACTGTCAGACATTTCTGCAGGAAGTTCTCAGCCCTCTCTTCGTGCGTTCCTCCGCGTATATCCCTGCCGCCTGCCTGGACCCTGCTCTGAGCAGGCACAGTGCGGGGTTAGGTCACAGGAGCACCTTCATTCACACTAATGCCTATTACATAGTCATATCTTGTGCAAATTTTCTGGTTACAAAATCTCTCCCTCGGCTCTCAACCACTTCTCTTGAACTAACATCACCATTAAATCTCACCACCTTTCCTCCACCCACTCCCCTGAAGATATCCCCAAATTTCTCCAGAAAAGATGTGGCTGTGAGCCTCTGTTTCATGACAGCTTAAGTTCTCACAGCTGCTCTCTGGCCTTTTGAGAGTCTGCTGCCTTAGGCAGCTCCCGGGCAGCTTCATTGCCTTTCCTGCAGTAATAGGCAGCTGACTGGATTCTCAGCCTCTCCTGAGTCTCCCCTGTTCTCCCCTCATCCCAGAAGCTCATTCCAGGGTCCATCTGGGGACTCGTGCATTCGACCTGGCCTGGCTGGTTGGACTGCCTTCCTGGGTTGGAGGTCTGGCCATGTGAAAGGTCTAATAAAACAGGCTGGAGAGGGAGCTGCTAAAACCACCAGCCTGTCTCACGGAAATCTGAGGAAGGGTAAGGAAGGGAGTGGAGGAAATTTTGTTTTTCCATTCCTATGTTTTATTTCCCAGAAACCATTTCTGGTTAAAAAACAAATTCCTTAGAGCCCGCTTGCTTGTTCATTCTCACCTAAGATGCTGCAAAGCTCTTAGTGGCGACATCTTACCCAGGCAAGATGTGTACCCTGTAGATTTGTAGGACAGTGTGCCTCCACTGCACAAGGTGGTGTCAGTCATACGTCTCACACTTGCTGAGGATTTGGAAGTTTCTCTTGAAATGCTTTCCCAGTTTTTATCAAATGGTCCTAGTGCTCAACAAAGCTGTTATGTAACATATGGTGAACTTGACAAAGATTCGCTGAAAATGGCTCACCCAAGAACTAGAACCAAGGTTTTCCAACTTGGGCCGAAGCTACCTCTACCCCACTGGGTGCCAGTCCACACTGGGGACAGTGATGGGGCTTGAGGTGATAGGAAATCTGTATCTATGTTCAAAACCAAAAGTATCACAAGCTCTTCCATTTTGATTTGATTTAAAAATGGCATATATCGTGAGCCCCTCAGAAAACTGAGGTATGAGATGGGGTCTTTCTCACACTTTGTCGTGCTTATGAATCTCCTGGAGAATTTTATTAAAATCCAGGTCCTGACTCAGTAGGTCTGGGATGGGGCCTGAGATTCTGCATTGTGTCTAAAAGCGATAATCAAGAACAGCTATGAAAACATATAATTTAGAAATACACAGGTGAATGCTAAAAGGAGCAGAAAGGTGGAAAGTAGACACCTCTGTGAAGAGGGCTGGGAGGAAGAAGAATATTGCCATTGCTTTTTTTTAATTAACTTTTTTATTAGTTTCACATGTACAACACAGTGGTCCAACAGTTACACATATTATTAAATCCTCACCTTCTCTAGTGCAGTTACTATCTGTCAACACAGAAAGATGTTACACAATCATTGACTATATTCTCCATTTGCATGGGAAATCATTTAGTACTATTTCATTGTTTTAACTGTCTACATATATTTTGATAAACATGAAGATTTCATTTTAAAACATTATATGGCCACAGAAACAACAACTAGGAAAACTAAGTTACTCTGTGGAAAAATGCTTATAATGGGTTAACTTCTGTTGGTCGGCCGGGACTTTCAGTCTCTATAATAAGGAAGTCGTCCAGCTGGGAATGCTGGGCTGGCAGCCTGGAGCAACTGTCATGTCCTTGGTGTGCCCCAGCTTCTTGAGATCTGGGTCTATGTGAAAGAGCAACCGACAAGCAGCTTCCGAGCGATGGATCAGTAAGGCTAGCATGACCAGGGAGGGATGCACCAAGGTTCAGTGAAGAGTTATATGGGAAAAAGATATAAAATGCATATAGAAACTGTGCCTGCAGTCATGCAAAACTGGTAGGTTCATCATGAGAAGGGAACAAGGACAAATGAAAGTAACTCAATTTGTGAGAAGTGGAAGTGAAGGTAATTTTTTTCCCTTTAACTTGGAATTATATGAAGACTGATGTAATGCTTGTGTAAAACAGAATACAAGTTTTGAGAGGAAATCAGTGGCATTCTTTGCTCTGCTTCCCTCCTGCAGCTTAATTGCTTACACGGAACAGTATGTGGAATATGATCCTTTGATCACACCAGCTGAGCCATCCAATCCCTGGATCAGTGACGATATCGCTTTATGGGACATAGAAATGAGGTAAAAAAAAAAGAAAGAAAGAAAAGATCTAATGTTTGAGAGTGGGAGAGATGTGGTAAAAAAGTCATGAGATTGTGACATTATGTGATTCCTTCTTTTAATCTGACTCTTTTTATTGCTAGAAGAGATACCCCTCAAGTTACCACCCGATCGCATTCTGCTTACTCGTGGTTTCACCTCCTCCTAGCTTTGGTTTGTACCAAACTTTGTGGCTTCCTCCTGACCTCTCTGATAACAGAGATAGCCCCTCACATTTCCTTGTTCTGATTGCTGGAGGGCTGGAGGGAAAGAATCTGTTGGCCAATTTGGTTGTGGGTTTTTTTAACTAGTATACAGCAGCAGCAGTAATTATAATAGCCGGCCCTTATTCAGTACTGGCCGCCTAGCAACTGTCTTACATGGAATCCCCATGACAAATAAGCACTGTTTTTCTCACCATTGAACAGATGAGGAAACTGAGGCACTGAGGAGTTAATGAACTTGCTCAAGGCCACACAGTGAGCAGGTGGCAGAATTAGAATGAAGGCTGTGGGCTCCAAAGCTGTGGTTTTCTCCACTGTGCACCTGTGGAAGGTCTGGCAGTGGTGATTCCATCCAGCAGCTCCTTCCCTGTGCAGGAAGCTAGTGTGTTTACCAAATAGCTGAGGAACTGGAGCCCAGAGGGACTTGGGCCACTTTCAGACTTAGAGACACACAGACACATCTGGTGTGCTGTACCTTTTGTACCTCTGCCCCTCAGCAGGAAGACTTATTTCTTTTTTCATTTCCCTATATCTCTCTCATTTGCTTTCACTCATGCTGTTTTTGTGGCTTCTTTTTTGAAATGGAAAATTGTATACAAGTAATAAAAGTCATAGATAGTTATTATAAAAGGTCCAAATTATTCAGACATGCATAATGAAGAAAATTCTCTCTTCCTCCAACCCAATCTCATTTTCCAGAAAGAACCTTTGTTTATAGTCTAATGCCGTGGTTCCCAAACTGCTCTAGGTCACTCTGGCCACTGCAGGGAATCATAGGGTTACCAAGGATATTCTGAATCTTTGAGGGAAACACAGTGATGTTTGACTTGTATCAGATAGTGCATAGTCTACTAACTTAAGGTGGTTCACTCTTTTCAACATTAGATCATATTAATGATATCATGTTCGCAAATCTTGGTTTTCAGGGCAGTTCCTACGATAAAAAGCAAATAGTGTGCATGAAATGAAGGAGGTGGGGTCCAATCTGATTCCAAAGTTTGAAAAGATGTGCAGTGCCCAAGTGGCGCACATTGTGGTTGAAAGAAGTAAATATATTATTTCTTCTGTAAATTTATATGTATTTTATAGGTACTAAGTTTTTAGAATATAAATATGTATGAAGTCCTTTGGACCTGACTAATAAACAAAGCTGTTAGGTATTTTGGGGGGGTGTCTTGAACTCAGAAAGTTTGGGAACCTTTGATTTAGTGTCTATCTTTTTAGATTTTTATGTATATACATTGTCACATTCTTTTGCATAAATGGGTTCATTATATGTACATTGTCCCATAATTTTTTAAAGTAACAATGAATCACAGCATTCTTTAGATGTAAACATCTATAAATCCACTTTATCCTTTTTAATAACTACATCATGTCTTCTTGCATGAGTGTAACGTAATTTACTTAACCAATTCCCAGGTCATTAATATTTAAGTATATCCTTTTTTTTTTTTTTTGCTCGTATGAACAATGATGCAAGGAACATCCTCATACATAAGCCCAGTTATTTCTTTAGGATAGATTTCCAGAGGGCAGCATACATATTTTAATTTTAGTTCATGTGGCCAGATTTCTCTTGAGCAAAATGACAACAGTTTTTTTTTAATGCCCACAATCTATTTTTTGCAAATTGATACATGAAAATAAAAATCTCATTTAAATTTTCATTTCTTTGTTAATTTATTTGCGAATCCCTTCTCACGATTATTAGATATTCATTTTTCTTTTTGACTTGACTATTCTTGTGTTCTTTGCTGATTTTTCTAGGGGTGTGTTTTCTTTGGACACTGGGTTCTAAAACAATCATATTTACTTGGATCATCTATTTTATCTTTTTCCTGATATTTCATGTTTCCTCAATCTCATTCTTCCTCCTTGTTTCTTTTTCTCTTCCCTGACTCTTGCTTTATTAGTAAAGTTTGTAGTAGCTTTTGTTACCCTTGTTCCTCTTCTAGCCATCTACTCTTAAATGTTTTAACTAAAAATCACATTAATTCATACCAATAATAATGCAGTCTATAAAGTAAAAAGTAGATTTCTCTTTACCTCCTCCAAATCCCATTCTTCCCCATAGGTGTGTTAACCTGATATATTTTAAACCAACATTTGGGACTTATATTTCTCTGTCAACATTTAAAGAAAAACAATTTGTAGATTAGTATCTTCTTTCAAATATTTCTGACATGCCCTAGGTTGTCCCTTCTAATTTGATCCATAAATTCAAATTTATCTGTAACTCAGTATCTTTTATTTTAAATTGCTGCTACTCTTTTTCTGTCCTATCCTCTCTTTCCAGGAAATCCTTTGTAGGAATTCCAGGCTTCTGGGAGAAAACAGCCATATCTCTTATCTTTTCTCTGTTATAATTTCCATCTCTTCATCTTTCTATTCTATACCCAAGGATAGAATTCCTTGAATTACTTTTCAGAGTCACCACTTTAGTTTCCAGTGGTGTCCCTTCTGTGACTCTGTACTCTAATGAGTTTTTCTTTTCCAACTGAGTGTTGGGAGGGGTGGCTGACAGTCATGCTTTTCATTTCCAAGAATTCTTAATATTTCTTGGACTTCTTGTTATAGTAGCCTGCTCTGTTCTTTTGATACTTATCCTCTTGAATACCCCTGACAGTGTGCTACAGACTATTTTTTAATATTTCCCCTCTATTTCTGATGCTAAGTGTGTTTCATTGGGGGTCATTTATTAGAGAATCATTGTTTCATTACTACAATCTCTGTCCAGAACAGATGAGTCTTTTCATATACCCAACAATTTGGGTAACTGCTGTTTTTCATAAATGAAGGTCTTGGCTTTTGACCCTGGCCATACATTAGAACCACCTGGAATAATTTATTAAAAACAAAAACTCCCACTCCCCTCCCTAGGATGATTAAGTTACAATTTCTGGCAGTAGGGCACTGGTATATTTTTTAAATCTCTCCAAGTGATTCTAAAGTGCAGCCCTGATCCAGATGTGCTAAAGCATAGCTAGTGAGGACTCCCTCAGTGATTGTGTGGGTTAGTGGTTCTCAAAACTCGGGATACATGTGAATCACCTGGGATGCTCATTAAAGATGCAGATGCCCCCAGGGGGTTCTGGATATCTGGATTTCTAACAAGCACTCCAGGCAAGTGAGCCTTTGCACACGGACAGGAATCATCTCTAGGCTGAAGCAGGACGTTGGCACTGCCTGTGCTTCTCCTAAGGAAGCTTCCTAACCACTGCCAGCATTTGAGCGAGTAGGAAGGTCATCCTGGGAGAAGAAACAGGACCTCACAGCTTCTCTTCATTTTCACTTGTACCTAAATAACTCGACTCTGCTTCAAGGTGGACAGAACGCTGCAGGTGTCTTAGGTTAGGCATTGCGATTAGAGTACGAGCCTGGGCATTAAGAGCAGAACCAGAGCACTAGTTGTAGGAGCAGGTAGCGCCTGCTGGGGAACAAGTGCTGACAGGTTGTGATAAACCAGTGGCCAGGTGACCACCATTCTCTCAAATGATCACATGCTTCTTTGCTCACTTTCAAGAAAGGAGGAGGAAATCCCCATGTCCATGATGCATGAAATCCATGCACTTGTCTCTCCTCCTTTCCCAAATACCAATTAAACAACCAAAAAAATAGTCCTTTCTCCACCTACCCTCCTTCCAACCTATACTTTTGAGTGCTTGCTATGTGCCAGACATAGGTCTAGGTACTACATTTTAAGTCTTATTTAGAAAGGGAATCAGGGAAAGGATGTGGTATAGAACAGCTAGACAAGTGGGATGGCCACTACAGATTGAGTGGTCACAGAAGACCTTTCTGAGAAATATTCTCGGTAGAGCCATTAACCAGATAGTGGATGTAACAAAAGAATCATGGCATTGCCAGCAGAACTGTGGCTCAATTCACTTTCTCCACATGATTTAGGTTTAACTTTCTCTCTCTGTTGGACAACAGGTGCATAAGCAGAGCTACAAGGAACCTGGCTCAGCCTGGTTGCCATAAGCACCCGCTCCCAGCCAGCCTGACCTGCTAGAGGCAGAGACTGCCCCCGAGATGCCCTGCCCAGAAAATTTGATAGAACTATTAATCCAAGTTATTAGTCAAATGCCTTCCTTGTAGTAGTCAGTCTCCAAAATGGCGCCATCCTCCCTCTTTGTAGGCATGGACCACTTCTTACCTCAAGAGAGGACACCTCCCTCCCTTTTCATCTGTGCTGGGCTTGGTGCCTTGTTTGACCAGTAGAGTGTGATGGAAGTCACATTGTGAGAACACATCACAAAGCAGCCCTGTGGCTTCTACCTTGGTCATTTAAAACATTTGCCCCTGAGATATTCCTTCTTGAAGCCCGTTGGCCATGCTGTGAGAAGCCTGAGCCACTGGAGAAGCCATGAGGTCGACAGTCTCAGCTGAGCTCGTGGTTACAACAGCATCAACTGCCATGTGATGAGCCTTCTAGGCTGTACAGCCCAGTTGAGCCTTCAGGTGACCCCACCCCCAGCCGCCATTTAACCACAACTACTTGAAAGACTCTTAGTGAAAAGAGTCCCAGCTGAGCCCAGTCAACCTTGGGATAGTGAGACAGAACAATAAATCACTGTTTTAAGCCACTGAGTTTGGGGATGGTTTGTTATACGGCAGTGCATACCTAGACTACTCCCCTTTGGAGTCTTTCAAGACCCTCAGATTGTTCTTGGGACATCAAAGAAAATTACAATTATTCCTTCAGCCTTGGCCCTAAAATGGCGTCCTTGGATATTTTCTCTTTAAGGAGCTCTCCCTTGTTTCATAGTTTTTCTAGTAACTCAAAAGCCTTTTGAAGATAGCTTTCATGTTTCCCCAGATCTTAGTTTAGACATCAAATGAAGACTATATAATGGACAGCAAGGTAGTGGGAAAAAGAGAAAAGGCTTCAGGGACAGGCAGACCTGCATTCCAGTTCCAGCCATTTATCAACTGTGTGACTTTAGACAATCTGACCTCTTCCGAGCTCTGGAAATTTAAAGACAAATATCTACTTCCCTGGCTTATATTGAAATTAAAAAGGACCACTGGAAAGAAAACTTCAGAAATGAATGTTTTTATAGACAGCTCCTTCCTCTGAATCTGCCTTTTTTGTTCTCAATTTGGGAGATTTCCTCCATGCTCTTTAGTTGGGAGATGAGCTGGCATGAAAGATGGACTCCCTTGGAGAGCTGCCTGTCTCTGCTCTCCGTTGGCTTGGACTCCCCAGTGGGAGGCGGGAATTTGGTGAGAATAGCTGGGCACAGAAGACAAATAAGAGTTAGAAAAAAGCATGCAGTTAGCAATTAGAAAATGCTGTCAGGATAAGGACACATCACCCACATCACTATACACATTTTCTTATTGATTTCCTCTTAGGGTTGAACCCTTGCTGAGTGAAAAGCACTATGGTGAATACAAAGTCACATTAGACATGGTCTCTGCCTGCAAAGAGCTCACAAGATAACTGGAGAGACAATATAAACACTTAAAAAGCTAAATGATGATCCAACCTATGATTAAATGTCACAAGGAAGCATTTCTATACAACGATGGAAATAAAGGGGCTGGAAAATGGAAATAATGGGGCTAGGAGTTCCATAGGCCAAGGGAAAGTTACTCTACCGATCACCTGGAAATGAATGTCTAGAGATATTTTAATTTTCAGGATTATTTTATAATCACAGAGACCATTCAGTGGCAGCAACATGTTCAGATCTGATCTGGAACCTTAAAGGGGATAATGCTGGGAAACACCCAGGTGATACAGGAAACACATAAAGAGAAGTTGTATCCAAGGAGCTTTTAATAGAATAGATCCCTATGGCCAAATGTACTAGAAAAATAGGAGCAGATGTAAAGTATCCAGGTGTAGAAACAGGGATTGTGAATAATGGATAGTTGAGGGAATCCAGATGTACTAGAAAGTCACCCAGAAATTCATATCCTCCCCAGAACCTCATAATGGGATTTGATTTGAAAATAGGGCTGCTGCAGATGCAGGCAGTTAAGATGAGGTCATCCTAGAGTAGGTGGCTTCCTAATGCAATAGGATGGTACCTTTGTAAAAAGAGAACTCGGAGACAAGACCCATGCGGAGTGAACACCGTGTGAGGACAGCCCCAAGGAGGATGCCTGTGTCTGCAGAGGCAGACATCTGAGTGCTGCATCTGCATCTGTAAGCCATCCAATGCCAAGTGCTGCCAGCAATGCCAGGAGCTGAGGGACAGGCACACAGCAGATGCACCCCGAGAGCCTGCCGAGGGAGCATGGCCCTGCCAGCACCTTGATGTCGGACTCGTGGTCCGCAGAACTGTGAGATAATAAATACCTTCCATTTCAGCCACTCGGTTTATTCTTTCCTTGTTACGGCCACCCTAGGAAACTGCTGCACCAGGGTGTCCAGTTCCCCAGACCTCCTTCTTTCTGCTGCAAGCTGACCTTGCAGCCTTTTGGATGTCCCTGCCTTTGGCTAGGACTCTGTTTCTGCATCTAATGTGGCATCCCAAGCTTTGTGGCCCACCCCAAAAAGGCCCTCCTCCTCTGACACCACTGAGGACCCTAGCACAATGTCTGTGGGCTCACCACTTGAGTGCCAGAAAGTGGTGACACTGGCGGTGGTTAGGCATCCATGCAGCAGTCTCTGTCAAAGACTGAGCAACTTCCCACACCTGGCTGGCTGGGCACAGCCTTTGACTGGGGTGCAGCTCACCGCCCCTGCAGAGGCCTGCAACCTGTCCTGGCAGAGAGCCGATGGTTGAGCCCATTCCAGGTCACAGCATGGGACCTGGCAGAAAGAGACGATATCCCACAGCTCCATAGGGCTTATATTTGCTGCTGGCCCCAACCCCAGGAGGATTTCTCCATAAACAGTACTTTTTTTGTCTCCTGGAAAAGCTATTGAGTTTGATTTTTGTTCTGTGGCTTGAGTTTGAGAGAACCCAGGGTCTTCCTTCTTGTCCCATTGTAAAAAGCCCAGCCCAGAACTTTGAAAGAGATCAATTCCCCATGTCTGAGCTCGTGGGCTTTGTCTTCCACCATGGCCCTCTTGGGCTAAGCCTGGAGATGCACAGTTGTGTACAAGAACCTCCCAATCCCCAAGCACAGAGTCTCAGAATTAAAAGCTCCTGCTGCCGCTGATTATGTCTAGCAGTGCAGAAATAGAAGAGTTGTGTTTGAATCACTTGAGTCCAGATCTACGCTTTCCACTAGTCCCATGTGGCCACTTAAATTTAAACTATAGTTATTTAAAACTAAATCAATTAAAAATCCAGCTTCTCAGTCACACTAGCCACATTTCAAGTGCTCGGTAGCCATATATGGTCAGTGGCTGCTATATTGGGGGGCACAATATAGAACACTTCCATCATCACAGGAAGTTCTGCTGGGCAGCACTGGTCTAGAGCTCTTTGTTCTTCCAAACCTTTCAATACATGTGCCCTCTCCCCCTTAAGTAAGTGTAATTCTCTAAAATAAACATTGAGAACACATCAGCTCCATAAAGAGAGGAAACATGGTTGTATTCACTTAATGTCTTTTAGAAATAATAAAAAGGCGGGGAGGGAGGTGCGGGAGAAGCATTGTTAAGCCAGTGCATCTCAGAGTTTAGTGTGCACTTGAATCATCCAGGGATCTTGTTACACAGTGTGCTCTGATTCCACGCATCTGCAGTGGGGCCTGAGATGCACCACTGGGCCATAGACGGCTCCCTGAGTGCGAGATGACAGCATGTGGCTTGTGAACTAGGACCCTATTGCTGCCCAAAGGGCCAAAGGAATCAATACAGCAAGTGACCTGTAAGTGGAAGGACAGAAGCTGAAGGAAATACTTCTGTCTTCCAACACCAAGAGAATAAGGCCCACCCCCACTGTGGTCTGAGGAGGGCCATAAGACTGGGGAGTAGAGCTCAGAACTGCCCTCTGCAGCCATGCAGCCTGCACCTGCGTCTTGAGTCCCTCGCTTCCTAGTGTGTCCTTGGGCAGAGTATCAGCAGGCCTCAGTTTCTCTATCTGTGAAATGGGAACATGCCAGTGCATTTTTCACAAAGTAGTTGTGAGGACTCGGAGTTAACGGATATAAAATGCCTGGAACATTGGCTAGGAATTGGACACGCTCTGAAGGTGGTTGTTAAATCAGGAAATGAATGCAACACTGTGCTTCTAAACAGGAGCGATTTATCCTGGATGGGATGATGCATTTCGGACCACTTGTACCTCACTTGGGTCTAACCAGGATACTGTTTCTCCCCTGTGAATTGAGGAAGGGGTGAAAGATAGGGACAACGTCTTTGATGACAGGGTGAATCCACAAGGCATCCTCAGTTTTATTTCATTTTTTTTAAGTGAAGAAAAGGAGTCAGTAGTTGGGCCTCTAACCGAAGGAATGATTGAGGAAACCAAATAAATGGAGTTGTTGTATTTCCTTTGGACAGCAGCCACTTGGCAGGCATCCTGGTGACCCTCGCCTAAATGTTGCCCCTTTCAACTGCTCTCTTTCAAGAGACTTTTTGCTATTGGCTGGTAGAGTTGTGCAGAGGTCTGCATTTGGAGTTCATGTAGGTTGTACAGAATCTCTCACTTGAATTGGAGGCATTTCCCTTCGGCATGTGGCAGCAAAGTAGATCTGGGTTGCTGGAGAGACTGTGACACAGGGTTTTGCCTGGTATTGATTGTTTGTCAAACCTTTGTTCCCCCAAAAGCAAAGAGCCCAGCCAGCAGCGGGTAAAGAGATGGGGCTTCTCTTTCGACGAAATATTGAAGGACCAAGTGGGGCAGGACCAGTTCCTACGATTCCTGGAGTCCGAATTCAGTTCAGAAAACCTCAGGTAAATCTCTCAAAAGTTTGCAGTGTGTGAGGAATTTGCATAATCAGTCTTTCTCTCTCTGCCTCCCTTTCTCAATAAAATGTTATGGTTCAAACTCAAATTGCAGCTTATCTGGCTACAGTTGAAGTGGGGAAGAACAAACTTTATATGTAGCATATATGTATGGTTATTTGCTATAACCATATTAGAACCTGCCAAAACCAGCATTTTTTGTCTTTAAGTCCAAATGGCACTTGTTCAAGTGATTGGGAGTGTCTCTAATAAATAAGTCATTGGTCAAATGGATTGGATGACACCACCCATTCACTAAAACCATGGAATTGTGGAATTTCAGAGCAGAAAAGCAGCTCAGAGACCCTCTCCTTCAAAAATTCCCATCCTGGGGTCCTGAACACTTGGCAGACTAACCAGAAGAAAAAGGGCTGAGTGGGCTCATTGCAGAATTTCAAAAAGCCAAAGTGAAGGTCATTTGATAACTAGAGACATAACTGTAAATGCTAACTAAAACCTGTTCTTCCTTTTGGTGGGGGGTGGGGAGGAGAGGATTCTGTCAATTCCATGTCCAAGTTGATACTCTGGTCCCCTACTGCCAAGGGGGGATATCTGGTTCTTTCTATTGGTCTGTAACTCATCAAGGTGAGAGAAAATGTATTAAAATATTAATAATTACTGTTCAGGAGAAGAAAACAATAAAACTTTCAAAACATGAGGTCCACTGAGAGAAAGGAAAGGGAAGATATGAAAAGGGAAAATGTCTATGGTCATGAAATATTTGGGAACTTGTGGTTTATTCAGGCTTTCATTGTAACAGATGTAGAATCAGAGGCCTATGGAAAAAGTTACTAATCTAAGACCCCTGAGTGACCTTAGCAAACTGGTGACTTCTCAGTGAGTCAGATGGAAATCTCAGTTGTCTTTTAAATACTAAGTTATAACGTATATATATATATATATATATATGAAACTTACAACTTGGCACAAGGTTCCCTTTTATATACTAATTCTTATCTTCCAATGGCATTTTTTCAGAAAGAGAAGTTTTATTAATTTTTTTAATGTTTTTTAACTTTAAAAAGTCAGAGCATATACTGTGGGCAAAGGACTGACCCTCACTGTTAATGTGCAAAGTCCATTTTATTTATTTGGAGTCAGAGACCATGTAAGTCCATATATCAATCAAGGGATATTTATTATACACCTATGTTGCATCAAGCCCCACAAGACTCTGCTGAGGGATGCAAGAAAGTCAAGATGTATCTTTCCCTGCAATGACCCTGTAGGTCCTTGAGGAAAAAACACAAACAACTATTAAATCATTACATGAATATAAATGAGTATATACTCCAAGAACCATTTTGGAAGTGTTTTAAAAGAGGAGAGATGAATGTAAGCTGGAGTAGACAAGTCATAACTGGACTGTGAAGAATATACAGGATACCAGTAAATGAAAAAGAGGGAGGACGGCAGGTCCTGAGGACTCAGAGCTGAACATGTGTTCCCCCTTGGCTAGGGCAGCCATGTGTGGCCACTAAGCTGGAAGATCCTTTGAGCAAAGGTGTGGCAGTGGGACTGTCCTACACCATAAAGCTCTGGGAGCGCAGGTAGATGCCAATTAGCTGTATGTATTGATGCCTTTCTAGGCAGCCATGTGGCTATTGTAAAACAGATAAGGCTGAATACCTGATTTCAGGTTATGACGCAAGAGTTCTTTCCTTATGCTGAGGCGTTATTCTAAACACAGTTCCCAGTCAAGGATCTGTAATAATAGAAGGCTTGACTTCTAAAACTCTTTACTGGGATGGTGTTCAGGCCAGCCGGCCAGACTGTGCTAAGGGTCCTGCTTGGGAAGCCGTGCCTACTGTAGCCAGCATGATGCACCCAGGCGGCCCCTCTGAGCAGCGTCTTCAGCCCTGGGTCCCACCCCAAGACTGATCCCTATGAACCACCCCTATGAGTCCTTCTCATCTCTGTCCCCTGTGGGTCCCCAGAGTGGAGTGGTATAGAGGCCTCCTTTAAAGGACTATTTCTCAGCCCATGAGTGGCCTTATGACCCTCTGCCACCTGCATTGTGACAGAGACTTTGAAGAATGACCACAGGGTCCCGGTCATCTTAAGAGGCCAAGGAGTGGGAGCATCTGCTGGCTCAGCACCACCTGACCCAGTCTGAATGTAGCCAGAGTCACATATCAGTGCAGAGTGGATTCACGAAATATGCATTACACTTAAGGCCAGAAGTGTGTCCCTGGCAGGTGTTCAGGACCTCATCCTGCCATTACCTCTTGTACCTGTGCCAGCTTCTTCCTCCTGTGTCAGGAGGGGTCCATGTTGGGGGAGAGTGTGTGTGAGGGTGCTGGGAACTAATCCACACCCCCAGCATGAACCCATAAATTCAGACTTGAGGAGGGTCCACTCTGATCTATGGCAGGAGAGAGGATAAAGAAAACAGAACAGCCAGAGATAAAAAGTATAGCCCAAGAGCTTTTAAAATCCTTTTTCTGGAGGCCCAAATTTCACTTTTATGATATTCAGCATAATTGGATATATGGGGGGAGGTTGGTTTTAAATCACAAGACTTAAGGACTCTTTGTTCACCCATGACCAGGAAGTCTCTTCACCTTCGTTTGTATTCATCCCTTGGGCCACAGATATTGGCTTAGCACCCACTGTGGCCTAGGTCCCGAGCACTCAGAACTGAGTATAGTTTACCCCGTGTCCGCAGCAGCCACGTGTGTCCTGCAGATGCACCTCCACTGTGGTCCCCGTGCACAATGCCCCTAGTGCTGTGCAATGTAGCACAGTTCAAGGGTCCTGTCAGTTTGCTGTGTTGGCCACACTGGGGTCGTCCCTTCTCCCCAGATCGGTGAAGAGCCCCGGCAACTGAGATTGGAGCATGGGAGGGCAAGGAAAAGGGAGAGTGACCGAAACAGTGCAGAGGGCCTCCCCACTTTGGTCTCTCTCTGCTCCTTTTTATCTCTCAAGCAAAAGGGGTACTTAGGTCAAAATGTTATGATCTTTTGCTCAGCACCTGGAGAGCCAGGGAAGTAGCCAAGTGGTTGGGTTTACATCAGAGCTTCAGAATGCAGAACAGAGGAGCCCCAAAGAAATAGATATATGGCTCTCACAACAGCAGAGCCTCACCCCGATCCTTTAAGGAAAGATGTCTGTGATACAATGTAAGTAGAAGTCCCCTTTGATCAACTTTTTTCTGGGTGAGCCTATGAGATGAGGGAGGGGCATTACCTCAAGGGTTTAGTAGGGGCAGGGCCAGCACATTCTGTGCAGACAGCACGGGGTGTGATTGCTCACTCTCTGTGGCACCCTGAGCCGAGCCCAGGGGCTCCATCCGGATGGGGTGGGCCTTTAGAATGCACGTGGCTTCCCATCCACGACGTGGGGGGTCGCCCGGTTCTGAAGCAGAGAATTCCAGTGAGTCACCTGACTTCATCCTCGCTTCTCTGTACATTTTCCCAAAACGGTAACAGGAGCAGCCCCTTGCCACTCTGACCCCCTCTATTTCCCCCACACAAATCTTTGTCCTTCTGTCTCAACACCCTGCCGCATGGCAGGGCGTGAGTTAAAAATCAAAACCTACAGCAGAGCGTCCTCCCCCGTACATTTTTTATGAGCTGTAACGTCCCCTGAGAGAACGTGGTTGTTCTTCTAACCTGCAGATTGATTATCCTAGTTCCACACAGCGTCAGCTGAAGGGAGGCGCAATTAAAGGGCGCACAGGGGAGTAGCCAGGCTTGCCCGGAGAGCTCCCATCTCCGACGGCTGCCCGGAGTCCTAAGATGACCTCGGAAGGTGCACTTGGCCCCCAGCGGGATTTACCGCTAACCAAACACAGGAGTAATCGGAACAGAGGTGACACAGTGCAGTGACAAGCATTTCAGCCGCTGCCCGGTGAACATCACAGCCACGGCGGTACTAGTGCGGTTGCTCGTGCAGAAAGCGGAGGGTTTCAGCCCAACCAGAGACCAAGTCGGGTTGAATCCGCCGTTTCTGAGACTGTTGGCCAGCAGAGGGCACAGAAGCCCTTCCTTCTGCGTGGAGTTTGCTGTTTGTCTGGAAATGAACTAAAAGCTAGATTTTCCTAACCCTTGAAAATCCTAGTTTATGAAACGATAGGCAAGCTGGGAACTGAGGAGCTGCCCAGACCTCCTGGCAGGATGCAGAAGGACAGACTGCTGCATGGTTTCCCCTGTTCCACCCAGCCTTGAGAAAGCCCCACTCCCTGTCATCGCCCTGGTCCTGAGAGAGAGGAAGCCCCCGGGGCAGCCCCAGACGGCCTTAAGTCTGTCCACTGCTGCCCGGCCCAGGGGCATCTGAGTCCAGGCGCCCACCCGCCAGGGCTGGTTTCTGCCTGCGTTCCTCAGCCGCGGACATGGATCACATGCCGGCACACGGCAGCCTCCGCACGCTCTGACAACTCCAGCGAAGCGGGACAGATGGTCTCCCCCGATACCAGCGAGTCCTTGAGGCCTGCCAGTCATGACAGCCCTTCTGCTGCCGGCCATGGAGGCTTAGTGCAGGACGAGTGGGTTTGACGCTGCCCTGGCGTCTTCCTCCCTGCCGGCGTCCTCGAGGAGCGCTACCTGCAGGTTTCTGATAAGAGCCGAAGCTGCGCAAGCCTCAGTGGGCCCCCACCACCACCACCACCACCACCACCGTCCGCTGAAGATATGCAGAGGGGAGCGCCTGCGGCTCTTCCAAGGGGAGTGTGGCCGGACGGCTCAGGCCTGTGAGCTTGCAGATGGCAACACAAACCAGAGCCTGTTCTGAATTTAAAACTGACATAAAGGTTTTATGAAGCTGGTGATGGTAAACACATATGAGATGTCAGCATGTTGTTGTGACAGCATCTTCGCTGCCACCTCAGAGAGATAAGGCAGGTCATCTTCAAGGCAGGCGGAAGGCTGAGAGGGTTCCCGTGTGTGCCAGGAGAGAATGCTTCTGTCAAGGGAATGTCACACTGCCTCCACCTCCCCGCCCTCCTCTGCCTCCTGCCTGGTGTTTCTTCTCATGCTTTTTTTTTTTATTCTTGGTTCTATCTGACAAAGTGAAGCTTTTAATGCTCTATGTAAAAGTTTATTAAATTTGATTCTGAAGTTTCCATTTCCATCCGCTCCAGACCTTTTCTCTGCCCAGCCGAGTGATGTGCATTAATGTGGCTCCCAAATCATTCTGGCAAGGAGACCCAGAGGCTTCAGGAGCCACAGGGAACCTGCAGGGCTCAGAAGCCGCCAGCTCCTCAGGGACCCAGAGCTTCAGAGCTCCTCCTCAGCGCAGCCTGGAACAAGGGACAAAAATGACAGAGGGTGACACCCCACGTGACATTGATTGAGGGGGCAGGAATTCCCCTGGGAGTCGTCCTTTTGTGCGAGGAATTGCGGGTCTGGCAGGCTTGGGGAGGATGCTCCCCAGAGAAGCTGCTTGCAGCCCAGGGTCTCAGCCCAGAGGCGACTGCCTGAGAAGGGCTGTTTTCCCGGCTGCCCCTGCCTGCATGTGGCTGCAGAAGACCCTCCACCTTAGTCTTTGGTGAGTGGCCCATCAGCACTCCTGCCAGTCCTTTGAAAACCAGTACTAGTTTCTTTCTTAAGAGCTGGGTTTCCCAAATTTCACCTGCCCATCAAACACTGCCCTCCAGGCACAGACAGCCTCCAGGAACTGTCGTCTTCAGAGGACCAGCCTCACCTGTTACCGTTCCGGCCACCTCCTTCACCTCACGGCAGACCAACGGGGTGGGACAGAGAAGGAATCTAGGGAACAGGCCGGGGGAAACGGAGGAGACCCACTCCTTGGCTGAGTTTCGGGGGTTCCCGTGAACAGCTGAGCGCATGAACATGGCCTTTCCTACTCTCCCATGCCCTCCTGGCTCCAGGCAAAGAACCATTCACTCTCCTCCTTTCCCCACTAGCCGTTGGCGCTAGACCTGGGGCAGAAAGGAAGAGGGCTGGCGTTGAGGGGCAAGTGATGCCCGTGTGAAGAGTCCCTTGGAGCCTCTGCCCAGGCCACCCAGAGAGAAACCCAGTATTGAACCTGTGGCCACCACCCGGACCCCTCCATAGCTCCCACCCACAGGACCTGGAGGCATTTCAGAGGTACCCCTGGATGGGGTCTTCTTCACAGAGCCCTCCACCCACTTCGTACCCATTTTACAGATGAGCGAGGAGATGCCTAGAGAAGCACACCATGTCAAGACGGCCGCACAGCCAGGATGAGGACTGAACTGTGCTTCCTGATCTCCTGGTTAAGGAAGGTCATTATAGCTCCTTCCCTGCCTCTCGCTTTTCAAGACCAACGAGGAAACTGAGGGAACTGTGAGGGTTTTTTTGTTTCGTTTTTTTTAAGATCATTAGAATCCCAAATCCCACACACATCAGTCTTCCTCTCCTCAAGGAAATGGAGCCGCAATTACCTCAGTTGGCCACTTAGTGGCGCCTTTGGGCCATACACTCGGCTTCAAAGACTTGTCTAACCAGCAACAGAAAAACATGCTTAACCTTTTAAAAAACAAAAACAAGTACATCTCACTTTGGGTAAAATTTGGTGGCAGATTGAATGCACTTCCCACCATGTCATGGTTCAGCTTCTCTTGTCTCTTCTTTCATTGACTGGAGGACATGTGATCCCAGGGGCTAGGGGAACCACAGGTGTCGCTTCCCCGTGTCTCCTGGATTTGTTCACAGGGCACAAACTGTGCCACCCAGACCTGGGTCCTGCTGAAGGCCCTCCTCGGGGCTGCCTTGGAAGCCATCCTCACGGCCTGGGGGGCTGTTGTCCAAGCTCCAGCCCCGGTTGCTGCGGCTCTCAGCAGAAAAGAGCTCACACCGCTCTCCCAGCGGCCGTGGACATGCTGACGCAGAGGCTTCCGTGAGAGGCGAATAAGCAAGTGAGCAGGAGATTTTTCTCTCCAGCGCTCCCTGGAGAATCTTCTGGCAGAGTGTCTCCCCATGAATACCCCTTCAGCTTTGTTCCAAATGAGCTCATCTTCAGTCCAACACCCGTTTATTGGGTGCCCACTGTATGCCACGCTCCACGCCCGGCACCGATGTTGCAAACCAACTGTCTCCTTCCCTATCTCTAACGTGAATAGCTGGTCCTTCCAGCTCAAATATCCTTTATGATCCCAAGATTCTATCTGCTTCTGGGATCTTCCTTCATTCTGATGCCTCCAACTGATCCCAACCAGATAAGACAAAGGAATTCACAGTGTCTGTGTCATGGCATCTATGTAGAGCAGTGGTTCTCAACTAGGGTTGATTTTTTACCTCCAACAGGACATTTGGTAATGTCCGGAAAGATTTTTTATTGCCACAGCTTGGGGAGGGGAGGCCACTGGTATCTTGTAGGTAAAGACCAAGGTTGCCCCTAGACATCCTACAATGTACAGGGCAGTCCTCCTGCCCCGCAAAGACTTAACAAGCCCCAAATAGAAATAGTGCTGAGGATAAAGGGAAATAAATCTCTTTTTGGCGACCTGAAGCACAGTGGCCTTCTAATGTGCACTTCTTTCCACCTTCTGCATTTTCAGCAGTCCCTAGGGTCTTTGTTACCTGGGTAGTGGCAACAGGGAGGTCTGGGGGCTGCAGTAGAATGAGTTTCATGTCATGTCACTTCTAGAACATCCAGCAGAGTCCAGATGCCGAGCCCCCTGGAGCTGACTATCTTTATGCTTCCACTTCAGGTTCTGGTTGGCTGTCCAGGATCTCAAGAAGCAACCCCTACAGGATGTGGCCAAGAGGGTGGAAGAAATCTGGCAAGAGTTTCTGGCTCCAGGGGCCCCGAGTGCAATCAACCTGGATTCTCACAGCTATGAGATAACCAGTCAAAACATCAAAGACGGAGGGAGATACACATTTGAAGATGCCCAGGTTTGTTTATTTATTTACTCAAAAAGTTCTGTTGAAAGCTATTCATTCATGCACTCCACCACCCTGCTCTAACACGAGTCCAAGGCCTTGTGTGTGGTTAGACTTTCAGGTTGTATTATTTATAAGGCCAAAACCATTCCAGGTAGGTGCATAATAAAATTCTAGGGAGATTGTTTTCCTAGATTACACAGAAATAGAAATTTACAGATCTATGGATCTTTCGCAGGAACATCTCAAAACTTTTTTACAAAATCTGAAGTCCTGGAAACCATGACACAACATCAGCAAAGTGAGTGGAGTGAGCTGGCAGGGTCATGAATCAAGCCCACATCTAACTGCAAAGCCCGTACAGCCACCACCCTACACTGCCTCCACAGAGATTCCCAACTACGTGGTTACTGTTTGGGGAGCACCTCATATTTCAGGCCCTGTGCTATGAGATGAGATGCCACAAAGAACAGCAAAAGCCCCTGCCCTCGAGGAGGTTACAGGCTAGTGGGGGAGAAAGACAGTAGGTGGGCAGTCTTGCCAATGGGAGAAGTGCCTCAAAGGGGTGAACTCAAGGGTTTGAGGAAGCCCACACAACCTGAAAGGCACAATTTGAGGCACAGATGCTGATGGGGCTGATGAAACAGAAGCCACATAAGCCACCCTACACGGCAAGCTTTTCCTTGAGGGCTGGGAGGTGCCATTTCTAAAGATAAACATCAGGTCAGTTTCTCACTTCCTGACCTCTAACTTTTATTCCTCCTACCATCCTACACCCAGCAACAGGGCTTAAGGCTTCACTCTTGTCTCCTCAGCCCTCTTCATTGCTCTCACCTGTGGGGTCCCCGATAGAGAATTTGGGCCATACGCCCGCCCACAGACGTTATCTAATTTCGGAAACTCAGAGGCACGAATGCAAATAACGTCATGAGAACAGAACCAGTGTTCTTTGCCATCCCGATCTGCCTCGTTATTTGCTCAGAACATCAGAATGGGAACCCAGCAGGCTCAGCACCATACCTGTATTTTCTCTCCCATCGTCATGAGCTCCACTGAATGCCTGTGCCGGACAGATTCGGTTCTATAGAGTGCCATGTCTTTGTTTTATAAAATTGCAAGTCCGTCACCCTTTGCAGCCTCAAAGTAAAATATTTGGGTCATGAGAAGTCTTTTTTTCTGATCGATTTTTGTATGTATGTGTGTGTATATATGCTCCCAAGAACATACTGACATCTAGTTTTTGAGGAGAGTGATGGAGGAGCTCCATGGTGCAGGAGAAGCTCCTGGGTTGAATCATCTGAAACACAATAATCCATTATCCATGAAATATAAGAAAAGGGACACTGGTCAGAAGCATGCTGTACCCAGCCCAGCACTATCGCATGAAGCATGACGTTAGGAAGGATTCTTTTCATCTTTTATTATGTGTAAAATTGGAAAGAGTCAAACAGCAAACCTTATGGACCCTCATCCAGCCTCAGCAATCATCAACACAAGACTGATCTCCTTTTATCTGTGTCCTACCACTTTAAACCTACCATTGGCTATTTTAAAGCAAATCCAAGACATTCTATCATTTCATCTATAACATTACCATAATACCATTATCACACCTTAACAAGCTAGCAATAATCCCTTAATATTATCCAATGTCAAGCAAGTGTTCAAACCTATGGTAATCCCATAAATGCCTTTTCTTAATCTTATTTAAAATCAGAGTATAAATAAGGCCCACACACTGCAGATTGACTTGTCTTTTGAGTTCCTTTTAATCTACACTTTCCCATGCCCCTCCCCATCCCCTTGCCATTTATTTGATGAAGAAATCGGATTCTTTGTCCACAGCCTGGATTTTTCTGATTGCAGCCCTGTAGTGCTATTTAACATGTTTTTCTACCACCTGTATTTCCTATAATCAGTAGTTTGATTTAGACACTTAATTGGATTTACTTTTGAATATTGTGGACAAAACTACCTCATCAAATGTGTTGTGCCCACTTTTCAGAGCCACGTAATATCTAGTTGTCTCTTTTTGTGATTTTTAGCAGCTGTTGATGTTCATTGCATAGATCCATTAGTTCATTAGGGATTACAAAATGGTGATGTTCTAATTCTACCATTCTTTCTTCATTATTAGCTGAAATACAAATGATTATATACATCTACTATTTGATTATCTAGTAATACAATTCACATAGGAAAGATAGGGTGAGTGAATCTTTCCCTTTATTGGCCAGTTTTCAAAATGAGTGGTTTACTATCATTTTCCAATGGTGATCAGTTAGGGTTTTTTGTTTTGTCTTTAGTATCTCTGCTTAAACATATTTGATGTGTTTTATTAAATTTTGTTTATTATTTTTATTGATCCTTTTGTCCTCTCTGGCCAGTTGGCTCCTTCTGACATGACCCTCATAGTCTTTGATGTCATCTAAATAGCAAAGAAGCCAAGATGTTCCAAACCCTTCTGCAGACCTGGAATCAGTTAATTCTCCAAGAATCCCTGATTCCTCTTAGTGGAAAATGGTTTTTAGAGAACAAAATGAGGGGCACTTAGAGGTGCTCATTGTTCCTGGGTTGATTATTGTTTCCAAGCATTTTCTATGGACAGAGCTAAGAAATGGGTGGTGGTTGTTTGTAATAAAAATACGTTATGAGTTCATACTGATATTTTCTACTCAAATTGAAAACTACAGGAGTTTTTGTTTAATCTCTTCTTTCTTATATCATACTTCCTATCTCTACATTGAGAATCTTGGTTCTCAAGCATGTCACAAATGAGACATTAGCGCTTCATATCATTACTCATTTATCCTGCATTACCACAGAGCAGTCTCAAAGCCACAGTGCCAACAACAGCAGCAATGGTGTGATTATCACCTGGCTTTTTAATTACTGTATAGTATTCCATTGTGTGGAAGCACCATAGTTACTGTGGTCCCTTAATAAGATAAGATAAATATTTACTATTTTATTTTCCTAATGTTGGTAATATTCTTTTTTATGCTTCTGTGTTTGACATGTCAACCAGTCCTCTTTTCTTGACATTTGTTGTTTCTAATTCAACAAAGATATGATGGGAAATCTTAGGAAGTCAGCAGGTCATTCCTTGACAAGTTTCTGAATAGACAGCCTGCATTAGTACAGTGCTCTGCCACTTTTCAGATGTGGAAAAGTGGAAAGAGTCAAACAACAAACAAAAGCTGTTAATCTTTGCTCCAATGGCGGAGGTGGTAGCATTGTGTGCCTGTATCACAACACTGCACCAAGTTTCCTGATATTAATCCTTGATTGGAGGGCATTTCCCGGTACTTTTCAGGTACTTGCAAATGCATTCTATCTCATTCTTGAGGTAAACTGGACATGAAGATACTCAGAACATCTCTAATCTCGTCATTATATGTTAGGATTGGTCTCCTACAAATTCAATAACACAGTCTTCCTAAACCAGTTTCCCTTTTCAGCCCATTCCCTTTTGTTTCTTAAGTGTGTTTTCCACCGTAAATATACATAGTGCTTCTAACTAGCAGTGTGACCTTGGACAGGTTACTGAGACTCCCTGAGTCTTCCTTTCATCATCTGCAGAACAGAGATACACTGGCATCTATGCATAGGGATGGAAAGGGGTCAAGGTTAAATGAAGCATGCCAATAGTAAAAGTGTCTGGCCCACAGTAAGATAGAAGAAATATGTACTATTTTATTTTCCTAATGTCATCAGTAGTCTTTTATTATCACCCAAATAGGGTGATTCTGTAGCCTGCCTTTTACACAATGGGTTGGTTAAAAAAACTAAACTTTTTCCAAAAAAAGCCAGATAATATAAATTTTAGGCTTTGTGGGTCATATGGTCTATGCCATTTGTACTCAATCCTGCCATATAAAAACAGCTATGCTGTAACAAGGTAACAATGTAAACAACGTAAGTGAGTGGGCGTGGCTGTGTTCCCAAAACCTTTATTTATGGACACTGAAAGTTCAGTTTCATATAATTTTCCAAGACATATGATTCTTTCAATTTTTTTTCAGCCATTTAAAAATGTAAAAAATCCATTCGTACCTTACAGGACATCAAGAAATAAACAGTGGGTCAGATTTGAGCCATGGGCTGTAGTTGAGACCCCTGTGCTGAACAATATATCATGAAAACCATTGAAAAGTTTCAAGAAAAACAGAAAGAAGAAAGAGGGTTGGGAGTGGTTACTCTTCTGTTTACATGAAAGAGTAGATCAGAGGAGACTCAGTCTTGGTGCAGTAATAGCAGCACCCCAGTGTGCAAAGGTTTCTGCATCAGGGTTGAATGTTGCAGAGTGAAGTGAGAAGTCAGCCAGTAGCATGATACAGTGATACTGACACTGCCTTACCCTTCCTGGCCAGCACCACTGCCTGCACCAGCTACACAGGTGTGACTCAGAAGTTTCCAGGTAAGGAAAGATGGTCAAAATCCCCAGCAGCTCATGAGCACCCAAAACTTGTCCTCAGATCTCCCTACTTGCTGGCCAAGAGTCTGTTGTTCAGATCACACTGCTCCTGGATTGTTAATGCTGAGGGCTCGGTTGTCATTCTGAAACTTGGAGAAACAGGTGGCTCCTGACCTGCATATACTTTGTCTAAGATTGTACATATACGTCCTTTAATCTGGCTCTGTGTGTGCCCAGCTGCAAAGTGGGAATGGTGGGCCCTAAGCCTTTTGGAAACCCCTCTCCCCACCATAATTGTGATCAGGAGCTCTGGACAGCTTCCTCAGCTGGTCACAATGGTTCTCACGAGCCCCCCACAGTGGTCAGAATGCCAACAGCAGGGTGAGTGTGTGCCCTACCATTTGGGGTCCGTAGCTGGAGTGAAGGCTCGGCCAGGTTTATGGATTCATTTGAAATGGGGACTGGGAATGGGGTGCAGATGCTCTGTGAGGATTTTGTTTTTTATTTGACATCATTGTTAGAGCAAAGGTAATTGCCTGTGTTTGCTTCCTGTGGAAATATTTCACCAAACACCCTGTCAGCATGGACCCAGCAT